AGCACAACCCAGTGGCCTTCCACTCCACTTACAGGCCGTGATCAGCTTAGGGAGCTTTGAAAATTCTGCCCTCCAAGACCCACCTCTCAACCTCTAGGGTTCTAATACAATGAATCAGTTGAAATGTTTCAGAAGCCCCCAGGTATTCTAAGTCTTCATCAAGGCCAAGAACCCTGGAGCCCCTCAATGCAGCTGGAGAAAGAGAGGCCCAGATACAGGGAAAGGTCACACTGTGCACTGATAGCAGCCCATAGTGGGACCTAAGGATAAGGCACCAGCCAATGGCAGCCATTGCAGCAGCCCCTGCCCCTGCTCAGACAGGCTGTGCACAGATGGCTTGACCCATGAGCTCTGGTGTATAAGACCTGGTGTGGCGCCAAAGAAGTGGCTGACAATTTTAGAATGGAGGCTCAGAGTTAAAAGCTGGACGGGCCAGCAGGATGGCTCAGTGGGTAAAAGCACTTGCTGTTGCAAATAACAACCAGAGTTTGGTCCCTAGAACCCATGGTATAAAGAAATAACAGACTCTTAAAAACTGTCAGAGAGAAAGAGAGAGAGAGAGAGAGAGAGAGAGAGAGAGAGAGAGAGAGAGAGAGAGAGATTAATAATAAATTACAATTCTTTGTCTTTTTGAGACAGGGTCCCCTGTAAAGCCAGCTGGCCTCTGTCTCCCAAGTGCTGGGATTAAAGGTGTGCATTACCACACCTGGCACAAGTAAAATAGTTTTTGAGCAAGATGAGGTAGCTGCATGTCAGGGTGACAACTTGGACAGCAAATGGAAGAACAGAAAGAGACAGGCATGTGGTATACATCTGTGATCCCAGCTACTAGGGAGGCCGAGGCAGGAGGACCACAAATTTAAGGCCAGCCTGGTAAGTTTATAAGCCCAGAGCCAGCCTGTGTAACTTAGTGAGACCCTGTCTCAAAACAAAATAAACACCGTTTGGGCTGTGAGGGGCAGAGATGGTGGTGGGAAACACATGGATTGTGTGAGGACAAAGCAAAGAGCTCTTTTTTTGCATGACTGAAACAGCCACACTTTACTGGACATTTCCTGTTAGTCCACTAGTGGGGCACTTGACATGTGTTCTGCTCTTGACCTTCATGACAAGTCTGAAAGTTCCCAAATTACTATGTTTAAACGAACCTTTTTATTCATTGCCATGATGGGATATTCAAACCCAGGGCCTTCCATGTACTAGACAAGGGCTTTACCACTAAGCTACATGTCCAACCCTTGGGAGTTTGTTGTTGTTCTTTTGAGACGGGATCTCACCATATAGCTCAGGCTAGTCCCAAACTTGCAATCCTTCTGCCTCAGCCTCCCAAGTGCTGAGACAGCAGGCACACACCACACCAGTACATGCTTTATTTTTCTCATCTTTGTGTCTCCCACGCCCAGAACAGAGCCTGGCCCATCATGGGTATCAGCAATGTTTGTTGAATGAGTGACTGTGGTGATTTAATTCAGGAACTTAGTACAATATTTCTGCTATATCAGGATCTCAGGCTGCCTTGATCAAGGGTGTGGGGAGAACTTTAACCTTGTACTACCTATGGTAGATTTTTTCTTGAGACAGAGTCTTACTATGTAACCCTGGCCTGGCCTAGAACTCTCTATTATAGACCAGTCTGGCCTCAAACTCACAGAGATTCACCTTCCTCTGCCTCCTGAGTGCTGGGATTAAAGGAATGTTCTACTACACCAGGCTCTATGGCAGATTCTTTTTTTTTTTTTCTTTTTGGCAGATTCTTTTTTTAAAAATATATTTTATTTGTTCTGGGTGTGATGGAGCACACCTTTAATCCCAGCACTCAGGAGGTAGAGGCAGGTGGATCTCTGTGAGTTGAAGGCTAGCCTGGCCTACATAGCAAGTTCCAGGCCAGCTGAGGCTACAAGGAGACCCTGTCTCAAAAAGACCAAAAAAAAAAATTATTTGGTAGTTTTATTTTATGTGTATGTGTGCATTGCCTGCTTATGTGTAAGTGCACCCATGTTGTGCAATGCCCATAGGGTGCTGGATTCCAACAACTCCTGGAACTGGAGTTACAGATGGTTGTTAGCCACCATGGGGGTGCTGGGATTTGAACCTATGTCCTCTGTAAGAGCAGCCAGTGCTCTTAACCACTGAGCCATCTCTCCAGCCTCCCTATGGCAGATTCTTGATGGTGTAGTCCTTTGGGGTGGGCTAAGCATCCAAAATGCACTCAATAAATGTAGACTGGATAATCGGCAAGCCTGCTCAGCATGGACGGAAGCAGTGCCCCAAAACAGAACTCAGAGAGCTAAATCCAGGTGCCAGGGTATGGCTCTGAGCCCTCCTTCGCCTGTCAAGGCCCATCCGTCCTCTCTGGACAGGGAGATTAAACTGGGTAATGGTTTCTGAGAGCACTAAATGCAGGAACTTGCAAGGCTCTGAGTATCACCCCCTGGGAGAAATTATGGTGATTATGGTCTTCGTGGGAAGTTGAATACCACTTCAGTGCTGGGACAGTACATACAGCATGGTGTGTGAATCAGGGGGCGGGCTGTGTGGCCGGGGGCACTGTGGGGTGCCCACCATACCACTTCATGGATCTTGATGATTTATTCTGATTGGCTTGCATATTTCATATTCTGTCTCCCCATGCCGGATAAATAAATCAGGACCAACTCCTTCTAGTGGCAGGAGCTGAGTGGGGCATCTGTGGGACTGCAGACTTCAAAAAGCTAGAGCCAGGGTGTCGGCGTCTCTAGCAGAGTGTGTTAATGTGACATTTAGGAGGCAGGTGACCCAAGAAAGGACAGCCACCTGCACAGTGTGACGTCCCCCATGTGCCCTTCCTTCCCCAAAGTCTAGGCAGCAGGCAAAGCATGGCCTTGGGGACTCCCCAGTTTGCTTCCTGAATGCTTGCACAGGGACAACAGTGCTCCTGTGCTTCTACAGACTCACTCCAGGCCAGGCTTTGTCTCCCTGGGGCCCCTTGAGATCTTTTTATAAGTGCTGTACCCTTGGTGGGCCTTCGTTGGGGGGCAGTAGACCTTCTTCTCTGGTGGTGAGCAAGCAACTCTGCACAGAGCTGATACCTGCAGGGACCCCATTAAGGCAGCCTGCTGTCAGAAAAGCCCAAAGATGGAATTAGACTATGTTTCTAGTGCCATTGGGGCCTTGGGCAACACTACCTGTCTCCTTGTCAGTGAAGTGGGACTGAGAACACCTTCACTACTCACTGAGGGAGCTGAATAGAGAAGAGAAGGAACCCAGATCTGGCCATTGTTGGTCATTTTCCATTACTGTTACAAAATACCTGAGGCTGAGTATTTCCTAAAGAAAGTTTGCTTAGCTCATAGTTCAGCAGGTGTCCTCACATCAACTCACTCTCACAGGTGCTAACCAGGGCCCTTTAGAATGACACTCATTCCATCAGAAAATGACACCCCTCATGATCTAACTGCCTCCTCTTGTAGGCCTCTTCTTAAAGGTTCCACAACCTCAATACCATCACATGGTGAGCAAGATTCCAGAACACAAACCTTTAGGGATTCACTCAAACCATATCAAACTACAGCACCCACCACAGGGGCTCCATAAATACCCTCGGCCCCTTCCTTCCTGCCCCCAACTTTGCAAGATCTGCTTTGTCCTGGGGGGGCTCCATTCTCATGTCCCTTCCATCTGACCCCACCTTCCCCTGACTCTGTTTCACCTCTGCTCACCTGTTTCTGCCAGATACCAAATTCCAAATTAAAGGGCTACTGGGGCCAGTCTCTCAGCAATGGGACATGGCTGGTCAGCTCAGTAGGGAAAGTGGCCATTAAGATACATACTTTCTCCCAAGCTCTGGCTCATGGGTTTTGACTGCTCCTCCCCAGACTCCTCAGAGAGATTTTGCTCTGCCTTCTCCAAAAGTCAGCACTCCCCAGTGCTGAGCTTCGTCCTTCATCTTGCCAGATGAGACCCTCCCCAACTTTCGTGCAGTTGGTCCTGACTCACCTCTGTCTGCCCTGGGTCCCAAGCCCAAGGACGTCTCCATCTGGGGGATCCATGAGCAGCTGAGGCTCAAGACACGCCCCCCCAACATTTAACCTGAGTTCCCCATTCATTAAATGGCACCTGAGCCTGTACACCCCCACCAGAACCCTGGGTGACTTGCTTGTTCCCATTCATCTCCCATTTGTCATCACCCAGTGCCCTCTGTTACCTGGGGGACGAAAAGGAAACAGTTGTCAAAGCTGATTCCCTTAATTCCTCCTGCCTCCACCCTGAGCCAGCCCATCAACATCTTTATCCGTGACAATGACCAAGACAGTAAACTAACCCCAAGGAAGAGTGAGAAGGATGCAGGTGTATACAATACGTACCAGTGAGGTAGGGGGACACACTGAACAGGTACATGTGGGAACCAGGGGCAGAGGAAGCCTGCTTGGTATGGCGAGACAGGGCAGTGTGGCTTCTAAACAATCCCAGTTCCACCTCAGGATGCACTAGATCATGTCCAGAATGAGGGAGGAGATGGTCCCTTCTACCTGCAGCTGATGGAATCAGGCCAAAGGTGCTTAAGGGTCTGCACTCATCAAGGATCCTGGACAATCACCAGTGAAGCCCAAGGGAAGCAGGATGAAGTTCAGGAGGGCTGAGGGCTGGTGCCAGGGGAGTCCTCTGTCTGTGTCCTCGGTCTCCTGCACTGTTTGGGGACAGAGGAAGTAGTGGTCGGTGCAGTCCTGAGGCAAAGCCAACAGAGCAAGAGCAAGGCACAGGAGACGGTTCTACTCATTGAGCAGGAAGAACATGTGGACAGCAATGTCCAGTTTGTGCGGAGTGGGCTCCCCCTTCCTTGGTTGTGCAGTACAGGATGGATACCCAGTTGAGGTTCCAGCCCAGACTGGGTTTTGTGATCCTAACTGGCAGGAGTGTTAGAGGAAGGGAAACCTACATGAACACAGCCAGGGCTTGCAAGGACTTACCAGACACAGGCCCGCAAGCCCAGCTAACTGGCCACTGTCTCTTGCTCTCCACAGACAGCAGGGAAGTGAAGGTGGGCGAGTACAATGCGGTGGCTGACACGCTGGAGATCATCAATGACACCATCAGGTTCCAGGGTAAGTCACACAGGCTTCTTATAAGGAGGCAGGCTCAGTCACACCCCATATGAGAGATGCTCAAAGTCCTTGGTTTCATGAGGTGAAGGGAGCATCCTTGGTATACCCACTCACTGACTGGATACGGAGTCTCAGTCAGGGGTCAAGCTCCTGAGATGATGCCAGTGGAATTTGAGAATGTTTGCCATGCCATTAAGCCACTGGATTGCCACAGGGATTCTTTTAGGGACCCAGTTAAAGTTCCTGCTCAAGACAGGGTGTTACTGAGCTGGCAGCAAGGCCTCACTTACTGTTCCTCCCGAGAAAGCCTCCCTCTCTCTTCTGCTAGAGAACTCCTCAGTGGCTAGAACCAGGTCAACAGACATGCCCTCTGTGCAGCCTTCTTTGACTAGCTCCCCACTGAACTAATGGCTCCTTTGCTTTGCTTCTAGTCTTTAACCCTTTGTCTCCACCTCTCCTCTGGCCACTGTAACAATGCTGAAATCCTATTCAAGGGGTCATGATCCTACTCCACTTTAAATTTCTAGTGTCAGTCATGGTGTGGCATGTTTGAGGGTTGGTGATATTTAATGGAAACAAATACTCATCAAGTGGATGACTTGGTGGACAGATACATGGATGCATAGATGTGTGGGTGGGTGATCTGTGGATGAGTGGGTGGATGTGGATGAATGAGTGGGTAGATGGATGGGTGGGTGGATGAATGGATAGATGGGTAAATTGGTGAATGAGTGACTAAGTATATGAGTGGATGAACAAGACAGATGAATGCCTAGTATGTGTTGGGTGGGTATGTAGATGGAAGGATGGACGGATAGATGCATGGATCGGTAGGAGGGTAAATGGATGGATGGGTGAGTAGGTTATTAAACGGGTGGCTGTGAATTTCAGTGAGTAGACAGGATGGATGGAGAGATGGATAATTGGATGCATGGATAGATATGTGGCTGCATGAGTGGATATATAGATGTATGGATGCATGTGTGGCTATATGGTTGTATGTGCAGATACATGGATACATGGATTGATGTTTGGATGCGTGAATGGATGGATGTGTGGATCATGGGTAGATGAATGGAGAGCCTGCTCTCTGAATAGCTATGGAAGAAACCGAAAGTCCACGGCACCCAGACACTTTTCCTTCCATCACATTAGGTCAACAGAAATGTTTTTGTGCCTGGAGCTCCTTCTTAAATCCAAGAGCACCGATAAAGGTTTTATGGAACCTTTGATTGGACTTAGTCCTGTCCCTATATGTACACTACATCTCTAGACTTCAACTTCTAGAGAATTGCAGAGATTTGGTTAGCTTCCACATAAGTTACCTGAGCGTGGCCTCCACAATCAGCTGGTCTTCTTGCCCCACCTGCAGGAGCCAACATTGAGCACATAGTGACATGTCATAGTTCATGCGCCCACAAGAAAGCTGAAAATGGATGGCCATGTCTTGTTTCTGTTGTACATTTAAGAAAATGGCTCAGAAATGGTGTCACCCCAAATCCATGCAGCTGGTAAAGGATGCAGACTGTTCTAACTACCAGAGTCCTGATCTCCATTGAGAAGCCCATCTGCTCCTGGACTCAGGAGAGGAGGGTTTCCTGAACAAGGATTCTGGGTACAGAGCTCACTGGTAGAGCACTGGCTTAGCATGCAAGAGGCCTTGGTTTTATCCCCGAACTGTAAAAAGTAATGAAGGAAAAGACTGAAGCACAAAATAAAGAAAAGACAAACCTAACAGGGAAAGCCAGAGGTCCCCAGTGCTCCGAGTGGGGCCTGGCTCTATGCTGTGACCCAAGATTTGCATGGAGGGCCTCCTTCCTCCCTTCTCTATCTCCCCTCACATTTCTGCTCTGGAAAACTGCTTACAGTTCCTCCAGTGCTGCTTTACCTGGGTAACTGGCCTGTGCTGTGCCTGTGCCCAAGTAGTCCTCCTCCTCATCTTCCAAATAGCAGCCAACCACTCCTCTCACTCTCCAAGACTCTCCTTCTACTCCCACTGTGGGGTATGTTTCCTGGCTCTGTCCTGGGAATCTGCCCTCTGCTTCCTGCTGGGTGCTGAAGCCATCCTGTGCCTGATGTTAGCTCGCCCCCTGGACCACATCCACAGGGGCCATTTGCACAGTGGCTAGAATGTAGGTCTTAACATTAAGCAGATCTGGGACCCAGTCCTGCCAGTGTGCCATTTATTAGCCCTAGAAGCCACAAAACACCTAGAAGACTATTGCCCTGCAGGAAAGTAGGAATAGCCTTATCCACCATGAGGGTGATGGACATGTCAAGTAAAAAGTCTCTAGAATTTCTCTTATTTATAATATGCAAATAAGCTAAGTGTCCCTACATTAAATCCCATGTCTGTTTGTCTCTCATTTCTTCATCACCCTGCAGCAAGAATTCAGTGAATGTGACTGCCTTGTGTTGCAGTCTTTTCCCCTCGACTGTGTACAAGGCAGGGACTGCATCTTGTTCAATTCGTATCCTTGATGTCCAGCACCAGGCCTGATGGGTGGCGGGTGATTATAAGGGTGGATGGTGTGTGAGACGTGAATGCAAAGGAAACTCAGGGCTGCTACTAGTGTATCTGTTCAGCTGTTGCCATGGTGCTCCAGTGATGCTTAGCTGAGATATACCTAGTAGAGGCACCATTTGGGAAGAGGAGGAGGGGGAAGGGGAGGGGGAGGAGGAGAAAGAGGAGGAGAAAGAGGAGGAGGAGGAGGAGGAGGAGGAGGAG